ATCTCGACCATTATGATTGGTGGCATTATAGGCTGGTTTTGACTGTTAGACATAATCAATAAACCAATTATAACATTATCTTGTTGTCATGCTTGCCGACCTTTCATAATTTGTCCAACTATCATATCAAGGTCTTTAGGGTTATCGAATAATATGGTATGATCTCGAATAGATGCGATGGCCTTACTAGCTATGTACGATATCATTTTGTGGTGGGCAGAAGTATAAAGACGAAGAATCAGTAGTTCGCACTTGTGTTGTAGTTGTAAAATATGGGCAAAGAATATTGAGTGTCTACCAACGTCTTCATTCAATCCTACCATATCTAGCTGACCAGAATTACAACTTGACCTGGCCAAGTTACACTTGGTGCACATCCAGCGGGCTCATTACCATGTGCTGGTGCAATCCTATATGACGTCTTTTTGCCGCTGCCTCACGTATCATCTCCACTTGATGATCCGACATGACGATCATGTTCTCCGTCCCATATGTAAACTTGTCTCGTTTTCGTCCCATCTGTCAACTTGTCAGCCAATCAGGTAAGGTCGCGCACGACTAAGAACAGTTCTTGTAGTCGAAACTGAAACTTCATTAACCATTCAGGAACAACATCTTTTAACAAAAAGACGAAGAAAAATACCAGGTTACTCTAAAAATAACTGTAAAAATTCTAGGTTCTTCATTCAGCGCTTTCGTACATAGGAAAAGGCCCAAGCTTTAAATAACAATTGATGGCACCACTAGATCCAATTACCCGAATCTGATATAACATTAAATCAAGTTTGGCGGAAAAAGCTTGCTGTGGTTAGCTACCACGCCATATATAGATCAAGTAACAATAATCTCGAGCCTGTCTGCACTTTTCATTTCTTTTAAGATCATAAATAGCTCATATCAATCTCGTACAATGTGATCGTAAGTGTCTGATGACGGTAAGGGTGAGAAAAAGCGTTTGTATAATCTATGCTTTTGCGTCTTCGTTACCTTTTTGTCGTAGAGTATCCTGAAACATGCGTCACCGCCATGGAAGATGGATAATATGTAAGTTATAGATTCAATACTATAATCGTCGCACGGGCGATCCTTAACGGTAAATACGAACATTAAATATGATCTATAGATCGCCGAATGACTACGAAATATGTATCTTATGCTGATAGAGCCTCTCGACATTTACTCTTCCTTACATCAAAATGTTGACACGCTTGATTGCATTTTCAGAATACTCGATGCAGTAATTCGATCACAAGATCCAACGAAAAGATTCATAATATATCAATTTGGCCATTTAAAAGCGGCAAGTCATCCTCATTGCCTATACCTTCCTATTTGCTTACTTCATGCTATTGTCCTTTATCAACTTGTGTCAAACACACTTTGATAAAGCTCATGGTCTACCAGGACGCAAAGTGATACATCCTATCCGCTTGGACCTCCAAGTCATCATCGCCAAGGCCAGGACTAATTGAGTATGTGTCAGTATCAACGTATATCAAATCACCTTAAGTGATCTCGACGTTGCTGTATCATTGAGTCCAACTGTTGTTGGAGGCCCGTTCGGTGTTGCGACTTCGAAATGGCGTCAGAACTACCCCTCTCGTTCTCTTGAAAGCTGGTTGACCTGTAAGTTCAGGAAAACGGGACACCGGATGCCATGCACTACACTCAAAATCGTAGTGTTCGATTTTTTGGCCTCGATTGCACTTTCACAGTTGCCTATGAGTAGAATATCGGGGTCCCTTTATCCAGACTTAACAGTCTGCAGGTCTCTATTTTCTTGTTGCCCTGGTGGTCCATAGAGTGAATAATTATTATGAGCCTGTATTAGGCTGAATTCCTCCAGTACCGCCAAAAATATTTATCACCAAGCGTCTCCAACTTACAGTGGATAAATTGGGGTGGAATAGACTGTCAGAATGAATCTTTATGAGCAAAGCAATTTGTGCTTACTCACTAGTGTCTTCGACATGTTACAACTCATGAGATATTATGTGTGTTCTTATAGCAAGCGTGTAAATTAAGATTACCTTGTTCCAAGTCTAGAAGTCCTGATTGAGCCATAACTCGGTACGTGATGACGCAAAATGAGAAACACCTTCAATTTTTAGTACGAACCAAAGCTGTTTGCGCTATTTATTCTTACAGCATAAATATCGGCTCCTACCTTCCTCAGCCATGCTGGTAATCACAAAAAATACCTTTATCGCATTCCTTTCATGCGGTGAGATTTGATAGCGTTTTCAAGCTCTATAATTTGTCTCAATAAGTAATATCCTTCTGATTCCCTGAATTTGAAGAAGTGAATCTTTATGATTTCGGGTAGAATTACATTCAATAACCCGGCAACAATAGGAGATGCTTTCTATTGTCTCGATATATTTCATGTTAAGTACCATTTTCTTTCTGCAGTCAAAGTTCTAAGAGCCTTAATAGTAAAGCACTTCTATCTTTTCTTCTGCATCGTCAAGTCCATGTTGTATAAACTTGCCGACCGTGTCATATTTTCCATCCGTACGTAGTTCAAAAAACGTAGCAATGATTGATAGACGGACACAAGTTGAACTCATTCATCCGACTGGAATACCTTCGATTTAATATCAATCAAATGGGAGAAGCCATCAAGATTTTGAAAAAGTTAGCCTTACCCACCATAACCGTATCGGAGATTTGTGGTGTTATACGGACCACGTCGCGCTACCAGGTGTAGTGGACGTCGGCGCTTATACTTAGAACAGTAGGCTCCCCATACAATGATGAAAGCATAGAAAGGTCTCTCAAGTTCTCGGTAAATATAGGGTGTAGCGATTTTGTATTCATCTCAACGGAAACGCTTAGTTGAGCGTAAAAAAGGAGCTGTGTTTCAATTATAGTTGAACCATGTATTGACCACTTTTCGAAACCTCCTTGAGCTATACAATGCTACACACATGTACGTTGACACCTACCTCACCACTCATTGCGCGCATCGAGCAACAGTTCATGGATTATTATCAAGCCTTGTATAGATTATGAGCTGCTTGTCATCAGCCTACAAATAACAGGACTGCTAAAGAAATTATGCCTGTATATATCCTTGATTAAATCTTCTTAGAAGGCTTTTTTACAAAAAATGTAAAACGCACCTGTACTCACTAAAATTAATTTCTTTTTGATGAGATGATAAATGTGTTGATAAGATTTATAATGAATTTCCATATGCTAGTAAACATGTATAATCTATACGCGTCGGTCATGTATCGTTCTCTAAGTCTGGATGAGGAACCTATCCAGTATTCCGTTGATTGCCTATTTATTCGATAAAAAACGCGACTTAACGCTTGAGCAAATACCGACAGCACCTTTCAATTTTGATCATAAGGTTTCGTTACTTCAATTATTTTGTAGGTCTTTCAACGGATATGGAAATGGTGTGGTGCTGTTGTCTTGACGACGTCCTTAGTTCCATGATATAAATGGGACGGCGCGATTTCACATAGAGATCACACAATGCCGCACCAGATAATGGGTAAGTTTCAGGGAAGTGTAAAATGGCAGATAAGAACAAGACAGCAGATCGTAAATATCACTCTGGACAGCTGAGAGGAATGCTTTGGTGCTATTCTGTATATCACGTGAATGTTAGCGTACAAGCAAAGCATGAAGCAGGCTGATGACTAGCGCTATCAGATCGGGTTCCACTGTCTTGACAAAGACGGATCTACTCCTGGCGACATCAATGTTGATGTGGGTATATTCATTTAGTACCAAAAAAGTAGGTGCAATATTGCTATCTGCAATGGCGGACATTATGCACACAAGCGCAGAGACTACCGATCCTTTCGTACGCAATTGAATGCGGAGCAACAAATAATGATATTTGCAATGATGCATCTATAACAAAATCGCTCGGTCGCTCTTCCTGCGCATAAAGAAATAATGACGCTTGTGTCGTTTACTCGATGAAGTTTAGGCACAAGTTTGGCGTGTCAACAAACATTTTGATGCACGAGTGGGCAAAGAATGGATGTCAATGACTGGCTAAACACCAGCAAACAACTTAGAATTAACTGTTAGTAGTTGCATGTCCATTTGCATGAATGAATCAAAGGACAAAATTAATAGCAATCTATGTGGTGCGAAGAAAGTTTACATTCGATTGGTCGGTATCTATCGGTGGTGCACATTTTTTACTCCTTGACTTTCTGATGCATACTATTATCTCGTGGTGCTTTTCGTATTCTTAAATTCGTTTCGCATTGTTTACGTTCTCATGTACTTCCTTTTTCATGGTGTTTAGTGCAATCATTTTGTCACTATCTACTTTCAACAAAGGCCAATATCATGAGCTGACACAGGGTCACCCAGTAACACTCATTCTGCCAACCAATCCACCAGGATGTTTATCGACAACATTTCCTACAAGAAGAAGACGATGAACAAAGCGGTACAATTTGTATTTTTCATTTTTTCCATACGGATTTCCATTGTGGTAACCCGCATGGAAATAAGTAATTATGACCATGCAGTTTCTGATCGTTAAACTCGATGCATGCGATTGTCCTCGCACCTTTTCTTCCGGTCGATGATAGTGCTGGAGTCTGCCCGAAATAGTGAAGCGGGCATGACAAAATCCATTTCACTGTTGCATCCACAAAGCTATAAATACAGACGCCTACGAATTACGTCGTAGGCGCAACGGCCGCACAGCAACCTTTTCACCAACCTTGCTGCTTTGATTGTCTACGACCTCACTATTGCTGCCAAGAAAAGCAAATTCCATAGAATAGAAACGCAGCATGGCGTTGTCTAGATTAGTTTAAGTTTCATTAATGATTTACCTTACTATATACGGCTCTGCGACAAAGCAATCGTCTAACACTAAGGTAGCGGCGCGTGACTATTAAATCTCCGAAGTAAAAAGCCCCTTAATGCTATTTTGTGACCCATTGGGAAGACCACATGCAGTAGCGCGCACAATCATTAATGGCGAGCTCTTCCTCGATGACGCACTACTAGGCTTACAAGTAAATCTTCTTCGTCTGGTCGCGCTTCGCGTGCAATACGATCGCGTCGACGACGTACTCATTAAAGAGAAGGCAGTCGCCGTTGGCGAAACGCAGCCGCTTCTTGTGAACCAAGTCGGGATACAGATCGTCGGTCAGGACCTGCACGTACTGTGCGGCTGGCGTCGTGTCCGGCGACAGCTTCACCCGAGACGTCGGCAAGTAAATCACTGACATCATCAGCAGGACGATGAAAATACATCCTGCCACCGTTACTATAGCCGTCGCAGTAGGGACGTTCACTTCAATGTCTGTTGTAGCAGCAGCGGCAAAGCTATTGCCAACAATTGAGTCATTCGACGTCATCGCGGCGGATGACGCGAGACGTCTCCGCAACATGACATCTTCAACCGACATTGGAACTCCACGCTGCAGCAAATAGAAGAGCGCTGCAGAGAACATGTCTTGAGTTCGCCGGCCGTCCAGGTAAAATTGATTGCGCTCAAGATGATTCAGGTATGCATCCACAAGTGAAGTGCACCCAGACGAGCTTAGACGCACAAGTTGGCCGTCGGGTGATACCAGACGGTACCATGACGTCAGTGCATCAGAGCGCCTGATACCTGGAATCGTGGCTGCATGCAGTGTCACAAGGGCATACAAGCGTACCGCATGCTGTGTCAACAGCTGTTCCTTGCCCACGAGCAGCACATTGTCACCTTTTGCAAAAGGCAGACTCAAGCCGAAGCACAATGATTCATCGTCACGTGCACACGCAGCGTCGTATCGAACATGAAGGGAGTTCAGCTGCCACGCTAGTTTACTCAGTGAAAGCGTCAGCACTTCCTGTGGTATCCGTTCAGCATTTTCCAAATCCAGCACATAGTGGTTCGAAGTGCCACAGACAAGCGCGGAGTCTACGCCTTTCGTGTACGACGCGATCGACACGCTAGGTTGCAACTGAAGCTCCTCTAAAACGCTCTTCGATGTGACAAAGACACACCCTGAAACGCCGCACAGCACGTCTCCATTCCTGTCAGCTTCCAATGGGACGACCAATTGCACAGTGGTAAATTCTACAGCTTCTGCCACTTTGCGGTGCTCCACACGCAGAACCAGATCACGCAGATGAGCCCTAGCAGGTAAAATCACCCTCAGGTCTTCCGCAATCATGCCGATCAACTTTCCCAATGTTGTGGGCATTTCTGCGTTAGCTACAGCGCCCGCCAGACCCAGTTTTTGTACACTCTGCTGGAAGATCGAGTACAGTTCAGCAGTATCCCAGTCGCCAGTAACTGCATACGTTTCTGGATTCGCTAAACTGTCGCGCAAAGACACTTCCACAGTCCTCGTTGGCGTAAGTGCATCCGACGAAAGCAACGCCGCGTTCCACGCGTGCGGCGGAAAGCTGAAGCTCACTGACGTCGTGTCTACGTCGTCAGCCAACGTCTCCCACTGTAGCGCTGCGTCTCTCGTGCTTCGCCCTGCCTGTAAGCAGGTGTCTTCATGCGTAAATGGTGCTGTGACACCTGTTCCCGACGTCCGCAAAATTGAGTGTAGTAAGTCCGTGTGATAGTTGATCGTAAACGGCGTCTCCATCTGTATCGACGTTCGAGACAGCGCTTCTAGACGTCGTGGAGACAAAGGAGTGGGGCTTAGCGTCGTTTGGCCCACGTAGACACTCGTGAAGCCAACGTTCATGAGTATAATGACCGTCTTGAGGCCCCAGAATATGCATCGCGCCTTCGTGACCGAGTGCATCCGCGCGGGTTGGTCGCCTGGATACAAGCAGCAGTTGTGCAAGTACGTGGCTAGCGTCGGGAAAATAAGTGTCTCGCAAAAGACTTCAAAGATCTTGCCGCCTGCGAACAAAATGTACCCAAACAGAGTGTTGTAGTTCTCCACGACGAATGCTGCCTTGGTCGACAGCGTCATATTGGACGGCCCTCTGCGCTCGTACACGTACGTGAGTGTCTTTTTGTTGCTCGTGAGCAGCGCAAACCCAAAGGCAAAGACCAGCGCCAGCGTCACGCACAGCACGAAGCGCCCCAGTCGCAGCCCCATGTCCACGATCGTGTTGCGGTCAGCCAGCGCGTTCGTGCGCGCCATGTCGCTGGTGGTCGAGACGCACGGCGCGTAGCTGCGCTGCTGGAAGCCGCCGCTGCGGGTACTAGTGGAGGGACGAGCGGCTGCCGGCATGAGAAGAGCTGCGTCCGTCGCACGAAGTGCCAGCGCCAGCAGCCGAGTCGGAAAGTGTCGTCACGACCGGCGCCTCGTTTCTGCGCCCGTGTGAAACATGTGGCGACTCGAGCGCGAGGATTTGCAGGCGTAGAACCAGACGAGACAGACAGACAGACCACAGACGGACCTGTTCTTCTCGAGGCGTGAAGAGGCGGGGGCGGGGGGGAGCTAAAAATAGAGTCATGGCCCGTCTGCTTTTTTGTCGTCCGGTCGTCGGGACGAGCTCCGGACGTGACGCCAGTGCGTCTCTTGTCATTCGGCCAAAGGCGACCGCCCACTCCTCTCACCGGCTGCTCAACCGCACGCACGTCTCTGTCAACTGAAGAAACGGTCGTCACCGGCTTCAGTTGCTCACAGCTGAAGCGAACATTGAGGCCACAGCGCAGCGCCGACCGCTGGAGTCGGACCGCATGTCGTCGTACACGGACGACGCCTTCGAATGCGAGTCGCCGCACGCCATTCTATCGAGCGGCCGCGGACTGGAGCAGCGCTACGACCCGCAGATGGCGCACACCAGTGGCAGCTCGCGACTGGAAAGCGTGCGCGGAAGCGACGAGAATTCCAGTGGAGAAGCGTACGAGAAACTGGCCCAGCCTCGACCGGAGATCGTTCTACGCTGGAAACGCTTCGCCGGGCTCGTAGTGCTCGTGGCTGCCGTCATGTCCGCGATCGCGGCGTGGCTGCGCGAGGGGTTCGTGGTGGACAAAAACGTCCCAGTGAGCGAGGCCGAGGACAAGACCGACCGTGTCAACTCGTACATTGGGCTCACGATGGGCTTTGTTGAGTCCATTGTTGGTCTAGGCGTGGAAGAGATCTTTCCCGTGTTTGTTGTGTACCTGCACAACTTAAAATGGTATCCAGGAGACGACCCCGCGACCAAGAAGCAGAGCAAGCTCAAGAAGTTTGCGCTGACGATCTTCATTCCTGCAGTGATGATGGCGGTGGGCAGCTCGCTGTCGGCAGTGCAGGCCAACCAGAAAAATGACAATGCAGGAGACACTTTCGCTGCGACAACTGAATCGGCCACGACGAGGTTTCGGAGCGTTACTGAGCTGAAAGGTGACGGGCTAGGCGACACTATCTTGAAAACGGCGTTGGCCCGAAAAGTGGAGCCTATGCAACCGCTGGAAGCGTCCGTGTGCAGCAATAATGGCACAAGCTTGTTTCCAGCTGAATCGCTGCTTGCGGCCGCCCCCAAAGCTATTTTCGGATTTCCTTTGCCCGATTGGGGCGCTGATTTTGCCAACGGGTGGTTGCATCGAGAATCTGTGAAGCATCGCGAGAGTTCGCATTCGGATGTGGACGAACATTTGCCGCAGGATGACGTCATGTCACTTGCTACAGCCCACGCACTCTGGGTGCGCGGTAGAGCGGTCGTGCTAACGAGTATCCGGGATGACAGCACGCCTCGAGCAAGCAGTACGCCATCGAGCATGGATGAGCTAAAAGCTGATATGTTGAGCTTTCTTCTCGACACGAAACTACCCCTGGCCGATGCTGCTACTGTTGACGCCTCGTTTGAATCGATGAAAGTAAGTTCTACAATCGACTTGGATGCCATGGTCCTAACGGTACCGATACGCAGTCCAGTCAATGCCTCTGTCGTTTGTGGCGAAAGCAGTTGTGCGTGGCTGCATCCACAGTTGGACAGTAATTGGCGACTACCGCGCAAGCAGATCGGAATCACACAGATGAAGGAAAATTGCCCGCTATCAGGAGAATGTGACAGTGCACCCAGCGTCGCATTGTTGTATGGGCTCAACACTATGACTCGCGTTGAAAGCGAGCGGGCTGCTCCTACTAGTTTATTGGTCTTGTCGTTTGCGCGACTGTCATGGCGCTTTGAAAGCGCTGCACATGCACATGAGTGCGAGTTAGGAGCGGATCGGGATGAACGATGCCAAGTGCTCCGTTACCAGCTTGGTGGCAACGACCGTCATTTGGTACAATCGAAGCAGTGGTTTTCAACTCAACTTCAAACCAGTTTGGCTTCACCCATCTCGCTCGTACAGCTGGTGGAACCAAAGACTAGACAAGTGAATGCCGAGTCGTCGTCATTTGTGAAGCTGGGGCATCTGGAATCATGGCCTTTGGCTAGCACTCATGATTGCGACAGAGCCGTTGACACGTATCTTCAGTACGTGAACAGCAACCATTTGTACATGGGCGACGATATGGTGGAAACGATGGCGGCGTCCGCACTGCTTTTTATTTTCCAGAACGCGCGAATTATAGATGGCGCACTGAGCGCGGGAATCGTGACGGCCCGACGACGTCTCGTTGACACGGCAGATCGTCGTGTTAAGATCTTTTTGACGAATACTAGAGTGGGCAACGTATGCACGTGGACAGGCTGCGGAGTACTGTTGTTGCTGACAGTTTTGGTTCTCGTTTTGCCAAACGAGCGCGCTCGACTTGCACCACCACGAGGAGGCAATGCACGTGCTGAGAGGTTTGTGGCCGTACAGACGGAGCAGATATACCCCAATCTTATCTATAAGAAACGCTTTCTGATCGGCAAAACTGGCGAAGAGATAAAGTTTAATGAGTTCGCTGTCGAAACTGTCGGGCTGCACCACGAGATGGAAGAGGACGAGCAAATCTACATCTGAGCTCAGCCGCTCTCGTTTGTGTGCACATGTACGAGAACGCATCGCCAACGGAAGAACACTAGGCTAAAAACAGTAGATACAAGAAGCACATAATGACACCGATTGCAGCAAATGTACGAAATGCTGCGCAGTTTTCGTTGTGTCAATCGCAGCACTGTGTCCTGGTGTGACACGTGCGTAGTTCCATAACGTACTAATCAGCTGCTTCTGCGCGTGTGCACGTGCCTTGTAAAGTTTCGACCTTCGTGGTGAAAACGTTTACAAGTGTCTGTTGCCATGTACATATAATTAGAAATTTTATAGCTAGATAAATTCATGATCGCTTCAGCTGGTCATACGCATAAAAGTTAGAATGACCGACACTAGTTACGCAATGATCCTTCCACCCTTACAAGCATCAGTGGCATTATAATTGCGAAGCCGAAATTACAACAACACTGAGGCTGTACACATGCATCTACGTTGTCAAGATTTCGTTCTGCTTGCCTGAGCCTTGTTGATCGGCTAGATATAGTGGTTGCTGACTTGGCTAACAACAACCATTCGGAAAAAGTCAAATTGCATTCTAAAAGACGTGTTTCTGCATCGACGGAAAGCAGGGTTAGAACGATGTAACGAGCTCACCCTAAACCAATTGTTCCGGATAACTCACAGCAGTTGATGATGAGCGACGTCCTCGTTCGCGTCTGTAGCTATTGCGTCCAGGCACACCTGTATCGTCTTCTTGGAGGTTGTACCATTTACAAGTAGTTATTGTTGCATTTGGATGCTCGCGAATAAACGCAGAAGGATTGCTAATGATTACCATGACGTGCTGATGTGGTAAAACAGCTAGTCAGCGTGCTTACCGCGTGATTTGCTGCACCTGCTAGTCAACACGTCTCCTGTCCTGTCGCACGTTTTTGGAAGTGTCACGACAAATGGCTTACGGGACACGCACCGTCCACGCCCTAGCGATTATCGTACACATCGATCGTCAATTCTGAAAACAATACGTGATATTGACATGCACAAGACACGAGTGTAGACGGATGGAGGAGGATGTCGTTCGCCTTCTAGACACATGTGCTATAATACCAAGCACCAGGTCGTAGATGTCACCTGATCAATTACATGATGAACGCAATGCGCGCATAATCTCGGCATTCCAACAGATATAGGGCCGAGCCGAAGGTGCCATAGGTGTCATTCCGTTTGAGCGAATGCAGTTACATTGTTGGAGTCGTACATCACCGATGATTGTTGCGCCATCATCATTTAGTTGACGTGCTAAAACTATCTCCCATTATTGTTACCCCCACAGCATTTCGACTACAACGCAGATTGCGATATACAAGCATGAGCATTGATAACTACTTCACAACGCTTGAACAACTACTACGAACATGCAGACACGAGCCAGCAGAAGGTTTCCTTCCTACTAGTGATATATGCGGCGAAAATGACCTCAATATATTATCGTATAGCTTAGGACACAAAGACGAATTATCTGTATCAGTCCACCCCGAAGTCTACAGCATCTTCGATTTGACACGATGTTTTTGCCGCACATAATATTGTCTGCGTCGATCCAACCATTTGCGAGGCGTTGCTGCGTTTAAGATTTGTTCTTCGGTAGATTTATTCTGCGAATGCAAGGTGATTAAAGAGCCGATTGGAAAATGTGGGTGACTGGTTTGCAAGTGTGATCCATAGCGCAACTTATTTTATTGTGCTTCGATTTTAGTCAAGCGCAGGCCATTTGAAAATAGGGAAAATAAAGAAAGGGAATTGCTAGATTCACACCCCTTTTCCTTAGATTCACATTCTTCCTTCAAGATCGTATATATACAACGTACGCAATCGCCGTTGGACAAAGACGAGTACTTTCTCTGCCGCTTGGCTACGGGCGACATCTTGCGCGCTGCTGTAGCTGCTGGCACCGACATAGGCAAAAAGGTCAAAGCTGCGATGGAGTCGGGCGCACTTGTGACCGACGAGATTGTCGTCGGCATCATTAAGGACGCCATCAAGAGTTCGGAATGCCGTCGTGGCTTTATTCTTGATGACTTTCCACGAACGGTTGTGCAGGCCAAAAAGGTGATAACAAGAAGAGATACAGACGAGTGTCCAGGTTGCAATGCAGAGGCTGACCATAGTTCCCTCTTTTGTATGCGTAGTCCTCGCAACTTAAGTTGTATCGGCTGGCCTTCAATGACGTCTCTTGCGCTGGCTGGGCGTACGTGTTGTACCTAACAGTGACAACGGTCCTCAAGGCGCGTGAAGGTGGCATCCTGGACTGGAGCCGAGTGGCACAAATCACGTGGGACGTTGTATCACTGCCGCTCAAAGTGGTTCAGACGATGGCCGTAATGGAGATCGTGCACAATGGCGTGGGCTTTGTGCGATCCCTAGTGGGCTCTACAATCATGCAAATGAGCTCTCGGCTATGGCTCGTCTGGGCTCTGTCCCGCCTCGCGCTATCTGTTCGGCTTCCCGCTTATGGTGGGGCCTCGTGGAGTTGCCGCGCAACTCTTTTCATGCACTCACTCTGTACGACGCCGTACCCAACTTACTCTTCTTTCTGCGCTACCACATTTTCATGCTGTTTTATCCCTCGGGTGTGCCTGGAACGTACTTCCTTGAGTATGCCCGACTAGCATACTTAACCTCGGGAGGAGGAAGCATGTTATTGCGTGGTGCCCTATCAGTAAACGCTGGAGGAGCTAGAACACAGGCGTGAGTAGTATCTTATGTATTTCTTACGTATTACTTGCCAATTAATGGCCAAGATTATTGAGTATACCTTTGTCAGAAATCAAATCTTAAAATGAATAGGGATTTAATACATAAGATTTTGAAGGAAGGGTGTGAATCTAAGGAAAAGGTGTGTGAATTTAGCAATTCCCCATTTAATCAAATAGATAAAAAATGCCCAAGAAAATTGAAAAATAAAAAATGCCTTAGATAATCACGAAAATAAAAAAATGTCCCACGTCCTAGTATACTCAAGATAATATCATGATGTAGCCACACTTCAATTAACTCAAGCGCAATACATCGATACAAGTTTCGGTTATGATGGTTCTCCACGCATTTCGTATCAGCACGATGCAATCTACTCGAACATCTCACAGTGGGTGCTGGCAATTCAAAGTGCAAGCTGCTTCAATCTCATCATTATATTAAATTGTGTTATTGGTTTTAAACGCAGCTCGGTAGGAGTAGCACCACACTCGTCTGTTTCTAGCTATACACACACACGCACACGTACACTATCCGTCACTGAGCACCAGCACGCACGTGTTGCGGGCGTTCGTGCACGCGACCCCATCCAATGCAACAACTGTATCTCTCAGCAGAAACATCAGTAGCATCATCAACAGGTCGACAATACATTTATCGCAGCAGCTACAACAATTCCAGCAGCAGAAAAAGAAGTACCAGCATTTTCAATAAGTACTTAAACAACAACAGCAACCGCAGCACATACAACAACCTGTAGCAGCAACAACATCAGCAGGAACATCAACAATAGCAACTGAAACAACAACAACGACAGGAATAACAGTAACATCAACACCATAGGCACCGAATGACAGTGTTTACGGTCGCGACCGATGATATGAAGACGAGTTTACGTACCTATATCTCGCGTCTGCCCCTGAAACTGGTGTCTGCAAGCGCAGCACGCCCGCGGTAGAACTTTGTACGCGGCTTCCCGAACAGGGCGATAGTTGTTTACGGCCGTAACTAGGAAAATGAAAATAATAAAGGACGTGTGGATTGTTGTGCACCACATAAACTTGGGTATACTAGGACGTGGGACATTTTTTGCGTGATTATAAAAGGCATTTTTTCGAGATTAAATGGGGCATTTTTATTATTTTTCCTTTTTCAATATTATTCATGCTTTGGATGGAATTCAATGTGTAAAACATATCATCTATTACCTTCGCCTTCAGCATCGTCGTGCAAGGTCCTCGCCACTCAGAATCACACCATCTCTGATACGCATAACGTAGTCTTGGATCTGATCTCGGAGCGCCACAATACCTTCTAAACGACGACGGACCCACAAAATGAGTTCTGGCTAAGGATTTGGTCGAAAATTGTCCCTCGAGTTCCGCGCTCAACGGAATGATCGGGGAAATGGCGCGGACGGATTTTTGCAAAATGCATTCTAGTACGATTAGCACCCTAAAACAACTACTGTTTTGTTACTTTTCACCAATAGTATTGTATTTTGTGATACATTCGTAGCAGATCATTCTTTACTATGAGAGATTTGACTAACTATCGAATGGGCTGAATAAAGTCCTGGCCAAGGCGCGTTTTGTTCAATAATAGCGTCAGCTTCTACTCGACGATTATTTGATGTGCCTCGTTGATTCTCTTGTAGTACGTCAACTTCGCCACCATCTCTTGAGCCTGTATTAATCTCTTAAGCGTGGGGCGAACGTGCCATTCATTGAACTTGCTAGATTGTCGCTGCCCGTCGAGCGAATAGTGGTAATGAAGTCTTCATAAACAGTACAAATTGGTATCATTCCTTGCCTACGATCATTGCATTAGCTAAATGGCTTGTGTACACCCTCCTGTGTTGCCGGAGCCGCTCTCCGAACTATAAGATGCTTCTCACGCTTTTTCTGTTTAGCGGTAGAAGAGCCGCAGAGACAATGGTAGACCGTGGCTTTACCATTCGTGCTGGTGATGTTACTCCGAGCTTTAATCAGCAAGAGACTGGTGTCGAAGAGAATGTTGCTGTGAAAGAATGGCAATTTGACCTCATACGCAACTATATTATTGTAAGGGCTGAAGGAGTTTGACTGAAGTGCTAGACTCTTGCAGTGTCCATGTCTTGACAATAATATATCATTTTTTTACTTTTTAAGTGACATGTTGTAGTTGGATAATAGCCATGGTGCTTAAAAGTAAGCAACGTGTTTGACGCCCTAGTTCAGATTGATACGCTTCTGAGGTAGGCAAAAGCCTGTTGGGTGAAGCCAAGAATAATGGAC